GTCGTAGTCTGAGAAGTCAGGTGGCGAGAGGGTGAGAAGAGAAGGTGGACTTAGAAGAGGAAGAAGAAGAACTCTCTCTCTCCCTGTGTCCAGTACTAACCTGTGAAGTTGGCGCCTTGATGCAGGTACCACGAAGATGAAGCTGGAGCGATGGCGCCACAGGTAAGTAACACTGGCCTCCGCCAGTCTCTCTCCCACTCTRCGATCTACTACCTACCAGCGCCCAGTGCTGAAGACTACAGCTACAGCTATGGCGCCCAGCGCCGAAGACTACAGCTAGCGCTATCACTACTGCCTAGCGCTGAAGACTACTGCAGCGCTCCTCCTGAGTGCTGCGGCCGAATGCTGAAGACTACCTCCGCCTACTGACACTACCTACCCGTGAAGTGCATGGGAACCTCCTATGTACTACGGGTGTGCCGCTTGAGCCTGCCGAAGGGAGGCAGGGGCTGCAGCTGCAGCTCCTGCTCGAGTACGTGAGGACCAGGCTATTTTGGGCCTGTTCCGCATCCCTGTTTCCGTGCCTGAGTCTTAGGACCAGGTCGAAACAATGAGGGCCTGAAAATGGCCCTCCGTTTCAGGCTGAAAACTCTGGGTCTGAAAAGACCCAGAAATAGGCTGAAACGAGGTAGGGCCTGCAGGCCCTCGTTTTTCAGCATCCAGGCTGAAATGAACGGGGCCTGTAAGCCCTAAGTTTTAGGCTTTTAGGCTGAATGTCCGGGACGGGCCCTGTAGGGCCCGTGTGGCTACGCAGTATGCCACAGGTGGCCTTAGGGCCGTGGTGCATTTCTAGGCCTTTATTCCATTTAGTTTTAGGCAGTGTGTGTTATTCTTGCCTGTTTCCTTATTTGTTCTGGGTTCCACTTCGTTTGTGAGATTTTTTGCCTGGCCCTAGTTTTGTCTGCTTTGGGAGATTTCGCTTCGTTCGGACAAGTGGTAGGTTGCTCACACTTTCGCAGGCCGTTTTGAGGCCAGGAAACTTTTGTCCATGTTAGGCTGGACGTTTTGTCCTTCCGTGAGTGCCTGTTCCAGCCATTATCTTCTCTGGACCAGCCATTATCTTCTCTGGACCAGCCCAGAGGGGCCTGCTGCATCAGCAGGTAGCCCTGCATATCCAGTTGGGATCCAGGCCAGCTGTTTTCTTTGCCTGCCTCCAGGACAACAGATCAGAGGATAGATCGGACGGCCATGGACGGAGGCCAGTAGGGCCAGCAGGAGGCACACAAGTTTATAGCGGGGCCCAGCCATTAGTGTAGGATCCGGAGCTACCGTCTTCATCCGCACGGCCATTGTCGCTGTATCTCTGGACTGAAACTTAGCCAAACACATCCACAGGAGCCAGGACGAAGGGGATCAAATGTGTCTTGCAAGACGCATTTGGCGACAGGCTGCTGGAGAGCAGCATTGTGCACTGCCGCTTGGGAGAGACGAGAACGGCCTGGCAAGCGGAAGGTCTACAGCGGCATTGGAGTGGAGTTACCTGGGCGCCATAACTTGGGGACCGATCGCCACTGTCGGGTTTTCAATTGGCAATCTTCTCCAGTTCATGCAGCATATTTCACTGGTCAGTAACTGGAGTATGAATAGCGAGAAAGGAGGGAGAGAGAGAGATTGCTTCTTTTTCTTCTTCTCCTTCTTCCCCTCTCGTCCATATCCTCCTTCTCCTGTCTACCCTCTAAGAGAGAGAGAGAGAGAGAGAGAGAGAGAGAGAGATCAGAGACTTGGTGACCATTCCAGGGAGACTGCGTCCTGGTTCCGACCTCAACTTTGTATCCGGAGAAGATTGTGGGATCACAGAGAGACTATTATCATTTCGACCATTTCAACTGGGCTCTCTCTCTCTTCTTTCCTCCCCTGATTCCGCTGCATGTCATCCTCTCTTCATCTCATCGTCCTCTATGGTTTCCCACCCATGTGTGTGCTGTGGAAGGAGGGACTTTTGATCCATGTATGTCTCCCTCCTTGGTGCTCCCAACTGCTGACTAGGAGGGCATTGTCTGAGCTCCAAGTCTTATGAGTCGGATTGCTTGTTTTCTATTTGGAATTGTTTGCATTGCATCTGCTTTTTTCTTCACTGTGGCAGCTCTTGGATTGTCTTTTGGATTAGCATTTTGGAAAGCTTTTCTACGGCACAGAGTTGTTGACCTTGTTCCCGTCCTCTGGCTTTTGCCTTGTCATGTATGCCCCTGTCTTTTCAACATGTTCGTAAAGGTGACCAAGCTTATCAAAGATGGTGCAAACAAGATCACATTGAGCATTGGGGACGGTGCAAATGACGTGAGCATGATCCAAGCAGCACACGTTGGCGTGGGAATCAGTGGGAAAGAGGGCATGCAGGCGGTCCTTGCTGCAGACTTTGCCATTGCCCAGTTCCGGTTCTTGACTGATCTGCTCCTTGTTCATGGCCGCTGGTCCTACAATCGCATCTCCAAGGTAAGATTTGCGTAGTATTGTAAAAGGAATTTATTTGGAATTGTTCCATCTCTCTGCTACACATAGTAATGAAAAGTTGTCAGTAGCTGATCGCCACGGTTTACTTTTGCTGTTTTCTTGCCCTCCTCTGGCTTTATACCCTTACTGGTCTATATAAGGCCCATATGATGACTCAGTGGATAGTTAATATGGTGATCGGTTGTGCCCATGCGGTTGGGCCCTTGCTGTGGCTGCAGTTTTTGCCTGTATGCGTTGTTGTTGTGCCTACTGACACGTGGTGCGGCTGTCCTTTTTGTCTGTTTTCGAAAAGTTGTGGCCTACGTTTGGCCATGGCTGCGGCTTTTGCCTGTATGCATTGTCGTTGTGCCTACTGCTCTTCTGACCCGCAGTGTCCTTCTTGTCCATTTTCGGAATTTCCTGCAGGTTGTGGGTTACTTTTTCTACAAGAATCTCACGTTCACGTTGATTCAGTTTTGGTTCAACCTCTTTGCGGGCTTCTCAGGGCAGAGGTTTTATGATGACTGGTTCCAGTCTCTCTTCAATGTCATGTTCACTGCTCTCCCAGTCATTGTTGTTGGTATTTTCGATCAGGTGGGCCCTCCTAACCCTTGCATCCTCCATGCCCCCTCTATTTTGACACCTGATTGCAGTCTATCGGTGTTGTCTTTATGCCACTGGCTGCCTCTCTCTTTTTCTAGTTCTCGGATTCCCTACTCGTCCTTCCCATGGCACAGACTTCTTACCTTCCTCCCCGGATTCCCTACTCGTCCTTCCCACGGCACAGATTTCTTACCTTCCTCCCCGGATTCCCTACTCGTCCTTCCCACGGCACAGACTTCTTACCTTCCTCCCCTGCTTTCTCTTAGTTCTTCTTCTCCCTCAGGGTCAGCTTGCATATGGTTAAGCCTCCACTTGCACCCGTGGGCAGTTTTGCCAACCACATGGTTTTCTTTGTCCTGTTTGATGGGCCTTGCTAGATTCAGTGGCTTCCCTTTGGTCGGTATGGTGCTGAGATGATCGGTGCTTAGATGATCTAAGATCCAACCGTGAGGTTGTGGGGGTGTTTTATCCGGCATCAGCCCTGTTCCTCCTTTGACTCTCTGTTTGACTACATTAGCTCATATCCACCACTCCCTCCTATGGCTCCCACGGTTCAAACCAGTGTACAATGGGCTGCATAGTGGTGTCAATTGTTACATTGACTGGAACTTACAGATCGACTTAGAGAATATACTGATGATAAAGCAAACCTCCTGGGCTGTGTCTTCTCTGCTTCCCATGCAACAGGATGTCGATGCAACGAGGGCTAAGGAGTTTCCTCAGCTTTACAGAGCAGGCATCAAAAATTTGTACTTCAACTGGCCTGTCTTGGCACGCTGGCTATTCTTTGGTGTCTACCAGTCGCTGGTTTGCTTCTTCATTCCGATGAAGGCAGGCTGGGGTGCCATTAATGCGGATGGAAAGACTTTCGGCCTCTGGGATCTTGGCACAATGGCTTACACTGGAGTTGTGACAACTGTGAACATTCGCCTTGCTTTGGCCGTCACTTTCTTGACGAAATGGCATCATATTACCATCTGGGGCAGCATAGCAGCATGGTATATCTTCGTGTTTGTGTACTGTGGAATCCCGCCGGGTAAAGTCCTCGCAACCCAGGTAGGTATTTGCAACCTTCTTTTGGCAACACAATTTTCTCTCGCGCTGATGGATTATGTGTGTGTGCAGTTATCAGGGGAACTCGTTAAAAAAAAATCTGACCAAGGAGCGACTGCTGTTGACATGGGCACGGTTCCTGCCTCAAGTGGGTAGAGGTAGAATTCTCCTCAGGAGATCGATAGCTGTATCATGATTAAATCACGGAAAATCAAACCGACGTTAACAGTTGTCATCGAATTTGGTCACTGTAAACCATAAGGGCCACCTTTTTTGCCTGTCTACACCTTCTCTCCACACACCCATCGTCATATCGGCGCCCAAGCCAGGACGAAGGGGATCAAATGTGTCTTGCATCATGTAGGGAAGCAAAACTGGGGCATACTCGCACTAACACTTTGTTAAATATATCTGACTGCAATTACAGTCGGACCGGATGAATGACTGCAATCACGTCCAGAGTACAGTAGAAGAAGTGCTAGAGTGAGTATACCCTCAGTCTTGTCAATCTGCAATTAGTTACTCATCCCTGAATCCTCTGTCATTATCGCTTTCAGCTTTCCGCTTTTGGATGGAACTACCGTCTTCACCCGAATATTCACCCGAATAGAACGTCCGGTCATTATCACTGCGTCTAGACTTAAATTTCGACCAAATACAGCTATAATGACCAGGCGTTCTATTCGGGTGAAGACGGTAGGAACTGCACACATGTATGGCGAATGATGGATAGGATCTTCAACATGAATGGAAAGCCTGGTTGGGCTATTTCCTCTTGCAAAAAGTCAATTGGGACTTCTGGGTTTTACCGGGTGGAATCTTTCGTCTTGCAGAGTGCTCAAAGAGAGGTGATGCCGATGATGTAGTAAAGGGAGGAAGAGCAGCTGGTCTTCTTTCTTTCTTTTCTTTTCTTTTCGTCTTCATCTAATAACACTACTAAAAACTTAGTAGGCCGGGGGGCGACTCTCGCTTCTGCGATGGTCCACATTAGTGTTTTCGCATCGCTTAGCGTGAGACGTCCGATGTAAAATTCTGACGCGCGATTGTTTTCAGTGAGACGTCTGATGTAAAATTCTGATGCGCCTGACGCGGCGCGCCGGACGCGTTTGTTTTGTTTCGGGCGAGCGTTTCGTTTTGTTTTTTGAGTTTTGCTTTCTTTTATCGTTACTTTTGGGAAAAGAGGTCGGGCGTTCGAATCCTTTAAAGTAGCCTGTAGTGGCCATCGAGTG